AATTTTTGGAAAATACTGAGCAATACCTGGGGGAGGGGTGGGAGGGAAATCATCATCGTCAACTGATGCATCCAAAACTAGGACATTTTGAAAATGTTAATGATGTTTAATGCACTGAAATAATGAGAAGCAAATGCGGGTCAAAAAAACCCCAGCAAGTCACATTAAGCTATCCGTGAGTCTAAACCACCACTGAAACTGAAAACTAAAAATAACTCGCCACTTCATTTTTCTAAAGCTGTGATAAAATAAGGCATGGAGTTTTCTAGAGTTTCTCAGACAACTTAAAATAATTTAGTACTGATGAAAAAGAAACTGCTGATACAATTTTATCAGGGATAAAATATCAGTATGGGTCTGTATCATTACATATACTTTACTAACTGTTGGAGTTTCACCTCCTCGAGATGAAAAACTAACTGCACACAAATACACAGAACATATAAGAGAAAATAGTTCAGCTCACTCTTAAAATTGTCCACATATTCGCATAAAGAGAAATATTAGGAGCAAATTGAGTGTGTTATTTAACTTTCCCTCATGGAGTGAGGAAATAATCTAACATTATGTAATTGACTTCCAACAACTAAACTCTTCTATTTGCATCTCTACTGGAGGACACTGAAAGGTTGCTTATAGACTTTGACCAAAGACTTTGCACCTAGCTGCAAGTTCAAACTCAGACTGCAGTGGGCCTTTCCTACAAACAAGGTGAGAAAGCTCATTGTCCTGGAAGAGGGAAAACTTCAAAGGAGTAATGATATTTTAGCGCCTTTTTTTTTTCTTCAGTTTACGGGAATGAGTTTACTAAGTGTTAAGGCTGATTTCCTCCCACATTAATCCTCATTTCTCTGCTTGTTGTAGTCACTTTCTAGCTATGAAAAAACCCAAGTTATTTCTTAAGAGCTGTTTTATTGGATTCATGTCCAAAAATAGTTTTGTCTCCCACAATGTTGCTTTATAAAGATGTATCAGTGATGACTGGATTAAATCCAGAGTTGATAAAAAGTCTGAGAAGAACGTGTCAGAAATAAATTACCATCAAAGCTTCAACAGCCATCTTTAAATTGCCTAGAGATGTAAATATCTATTTTATTCTTAAATCCCAAAGGTTAACTCTTGCTGCACAACCTGAATGATTATGCATGTGACCCACTCAGATGCTCTGTATGCATACTCCGGAGATGCTATCTAAATATCTCTATAAATCCTGCCTTTAGATGGCTAAAACGTGCTAGTAACCTGCAGTTACGCCATTCATTAACTTTCACTCTCACTGGTTGTTTTTGGTTTTGTTTTCAAATATTCCTCTAGCTTTACTTTGTGTTTGCTAAACACAGAAACCAAAACCAACAGAAGTCCTTGCAAGGAGAGGAGTGGATGGCAGACAATAAGAATCTCACATACCTCTTGTTGTGCATACCTTTGAACACTTCATTGAGAAGGTCTCCTTGGGAGGATAATATTCTGGTGGTGGGCCAAAATATTCCTGTGCTGTTCGTGAGGTTTTAAGGTAAGGGTCTGAGCAAATAGTGGAAGTCCTTGAGTGCTGGGCACTTCGGATGACTTCTGTTGATCTACAATGGAGTAAATAATTAATGTATATTATTTAGATCGTGCTCACCCCTGAACATTAGGACATGAGAAACTGGCAGACACTCCTGTTATTGGAACCAGCCAGCCTGCTTCATAGGTATCTGATCTGTTTTGCTTGCATGTTTTCAAAGCAAATATCCCACATACTTGCATAAATCCGTGTTCACAAGAATATTTGCACTTGATTGTTGTTATTTTGGTAAACTGTGTACTCACTGAGAAGGCTGACTGAATTGTTTAGGTTACCCCCAAAAGGTAGCAAGGAGGAAGGTGTGGGGAGATTTCCTGTTCCCATAAAAATGAGTAACAGCTTTTTCATGAAAAACAAACATTTTTAGCTAATCTGTAGCAGCCCAGAGAATAAAAATAAGAAATATTTTCACATAATAAATGTGTAAAGTAGTACAACTATTTCACGGTAAGCATTTTGTCAAGTTTGTACTTCCAATTACCATGTCTCGCAAAGATGCCTTTTAAAAGAATGAAAGCTATTAAAAGAAACACATAAAGATTTTAAAGTGGTGGAAAAAAATTGCCTATTTAAATTTTTTTGAGGTCTTTGATGATATTTTAAGAGGAATTGAAAATTGACCCAAAAAATCAATTTCTCATGTCTCCGAATATACTTTTCATTTGTATACTTCAAAATGGAATTGTTCACTTTGCTGCAATGACATACAGCTCCACATCTGAAGCCTGATGATTTTTAAGGTTGGTGAGATTTACATTATTCTATAGGAAATGTGCAATTTGCTCTTTTTTAACAGAGCTAACACTCAGGTTAGAAGAAACATTGGCTATAAATTGTTTTGTAAGTGTCTGGTCTAATCTACATGGTCTCCCTCATCTGAAGAAGAATTGGAGCTTGCCTTTTTCAAGGTACAGCTGGATAATTTTGTTATTAAAGGGTATTTTAAGTCTCAGTCAGCATTATTATTGTTAAAAATCTTCTTCCTATTCAGTTTTTATCTTGAATTTTTTATCCACAGATCAGCATTTTCAACTGTAGTTTTGCTTCCTAGTATCACTGCACTTCACTAAGGTTTATCTTCATCTAATTCCAGACTCAACTTACAAATATTATCTCATTCATCTATATTAAATCATGTTCTTTGTAGTTTTTACATTTTAATTAAGACATTCAATAACAAGACCAATGCTAACATCTCCATGTGTAGTTGCCAACAGCTCTATTTGGCTGAAACATTTCTGATTTTTCTGACCTTTGTCCTGTGTCTTGTGCAACCACCAAAGCATCCTGCGCAGCTGTGTCACATAAATTAAATAAGCTGTGTGATTTATAAGACTTCCAGTTAACTTGAAAGCAATCCCTTTGGTACTTCTGATGCAGCTGCTTCTCTCTATTGTATCCTGCTACTTGCCAGAAAACAAAACAAAACAAAACAAAAACCAAACAACCCCCCCAAGTTTCAGCAACAGAGTACAATTAGGAAAAAAAAAAAAATTCTTTCTTTTAGATGCTTTTTTTTCTCACAATGGCCTTTTCTGGCCACCTTTACTCCTGTTTTCCTTCAGGACTTTCCAGTTCAGGATAATGCAACTCTTTCTCCTCAGCAAGGTCAGGAAGCTTGCTATAGGAGTTTCCGACAGAAATGCGTTTGGAAATAGAAATACTCAGGCTAGAAACTCTTACTCATAAGGGATGAAAGCATTAGGCACCCAAATAACAGTTTCCATGAAATCTTCCCATGTATTTCATTATCATATCTGGACGTTTTCTGGTTCATCAGCCTAAGTCTTCACCAAAATACTGAAGTTTCCTTACAAAAGCAGCTGGTTCTGTCATGAGAGTAAAGCCAAACTACACCAAAACAACTGATGGAAAAGTTCTTCGATTAGTTGTAGTGAGGGTTGGTGCCTCCCAGATTCTCCACTTGACTCTAAGAATTATCTCCATGGCTATTACAGATCTGTAGCTGCCACTTCCCTTCCTCTAATCCCCAGTGGATACAGGGATGGTCTGTTGGCCTTTACGGTCCTTCCACCAATTTTCAGTCTACGTGTGCAGTCATTTAAAACTAACAACAAAACCGAGAAGTCCACAGAAGCGCTTCACTAAGCGGTGGTTTAATTTATAGCTATCCTTTCACACGTTGCTTTTATTATGCTATATATGAAAAAACAAAACAAAGCTCCAGCCCTTTTTTTTTTTTCTCTCCACAGTGCAATTAACACATTCCTGGCATTTGCTGCTCTCACTTCTAATAGGTTTAAGATAATTTAACTATATCCCCTCCTGATCTCTGCTTTTACTAAGGACAGTCATTCAGCCTCTGAGGATGATTCTTAGGCTGACCTTTGATCCCATTTCTCTCCAATTTTTCATGATTTAAGAGAGACAGAGGAAAAATTCATTAGCTATTTTCATAATACAATAGGATTACCAGCATCCAAATGTTTTATACTTAGCCATAAGTAGTCCTTCTAGTCCACACAGTTTTTATTCTCATCCTGTTTTTCTTGCTAAAATGCAGATTATCACGGAGTACTTCGGTACTTCAGCTTCTCAATAATCTTAATTATACTTATTTCCTCTCCTTCTTTGCCTTTATTCTTAAACTGCCCTACAATCATGCCCCCAGAGACTAAACAAGAGTGATGAACACCTTATTGCCATGGCCAATTTGCCAGTGTTATTTAGAGCTACAGACCTCTCTCTTACAATGCAGTCACTGGCATGCACTCACAGCAAAACAGCATAAGCTCACTTCCACTATGCTGTAGCCTAGCCAGGTGGGAAGAAGTGTAAGATCCTACAAGTTTATTTGTCACTGCAAACCTTCTACTAGTTGATTTGCTTATTGTATTTACAGGGGCTGGCCCGCTATCAAGTGCTGCAAACAGCTTTAGATACTTAAACAACTACTCATTTATTGACTGCGACTATTGAAATTAATTTTATTTTGGATCAATACAAACTTGTTCACAGCTGAACTAGAGCAACCTGAGAGTTCAGTAAGTCCCTATGCTGGTCACGTAACATTCTCATTTAAGCTATGCGTATTTGGCAAGCCTTGGGCTTGCTGTCACCTGCTGACCAGCCTCTTCAGGAACTGTAACTAACACACATGGTCACATTTCACCTACTTGTGACCCAACTTGATCCAGATAGCCCCATGAAATTCACATCTCCGACTGTGCCACACAGCCTATCTTTCTCCCCCATCTCAAGTTCAGTACAAAGAAGGCGGCTAAAAATTATTTAAAATTTCTAAGTGTTTCTAAGCTCCCCGATTCTGGATGTGGCATGCTCATGCTTCATGATTTCAAGACTGAGTAAATGTTTTCTCTACCACTGTAATATGAAGGTATTTAAAAGCAATCAAACAAGATGACAGATGTTAGACTTGCTGTGATATGTTTCTTTAAGGTAATAGACATACCTTCCATTATACGGGTATGGGTTTTTCGCTCTTCTGTCTTCATATCTATCAGATCCATGACTCTCATGGTGCCTGTATTGCTTATCTTGGTATCGTCTCCCGGCATGAGACATCTTGTTTCTTACATGTATTCTTTCTTTCTAAAATAACTTCCTGAGCCAAAGAAATAAAACTGGTTCATTTTATAGCTCTACTTAAAGTTATTCATTGACCAGCAGTCACATCCATTTCATGCTGATTCAAGACTTAGTACAGACTTCCTTAAGAGGCAAAGGAAGTAAAACCCTTTAAACTACAAGTAGAGCATTCCTTTCATCAAAGAAGGAAGTTTTTCTTTATATTTTCCTACTCATCAAGTAATTGTAATGTTTCTATATTCAAGACTTATTGCACTTGGCTTATTTACTAGGTCTGCTCTTTCTTTCCTACCTTTGCCGCAAGGACAAGGCACGATGTCCATTAAGAGCATGAATCTTTGTTTCTCTAACGCTGTCTCTTACATGAAGTGTTAAACCCAGCCAAGACCAGCGCATTCCGCGAGCGGGATACAGCTGCCAGCGGCGGAAGGGCAAACCTGACAACGCAGGCTGTGACCTTTGTCCTGCAAGTTTCTAAGAGGAGGGCGCCCATGGGTGCCAACAGGCGCAGCACCAAACGTCACCTGTGATTTGGGTAAGCGTTAGGTACGGACAAAGCTGTGCTGGGCCGAAAATAAGTTTGCAGGAAGATACCTCCTTGATCATTAAATATTACAGGGATGTTATCTCCTGAAAGTGTCTTTACACTTTGAAGTGTGGCACACTTAAGCCCAAGCCTGTAAAACATGGAAACACACAGTTTAAACATGTCGGCAATCTATTTTCATTTGCCTTCGCTACAGCCCTTCAGCTTTACTGCAGACATGCCTACAGTCGATTTAATTTTGTCCGATCAAGTTGAAGACTTGCTTAAGGACTTCCCTTCCACCTCCTTAGGGTGTCACCAAAGAAATCATTTTTATTTGTTTACAGTTAACAAAGAGCCAGTGCCATCCCCCGGGGGAGCTCAGCTCCTCCGCTCTGGGCATAAGCCATTTA